CCTCCCCAAGTGCGGCTCAGCACTGGCGGCCAGTGCAAAGAAGCCTGAGCAGTCACAGGTTTGTGATGGGGACAGTCAGGTGCTGCTGTTTTATTTTTTATCTTGACATCTCTTAATGCCAGCTGATGGAGTAAAGTAAAAGTACAATTCAGCCTAAAACTAAACACCTGATCAGACAGTCCCGAGCCGCCCTCGCCCTTGCTGGTCCCCACGGTGTGTGTCACAGGAGCCCCTTTCCTCCGATCCTGCCCTATTTTCTGACGCGTTGCCTGCTCCTTCCCCTGACGTTCACCTTCTTACGTCACTAGGTTCACATTCTGCTGGGAGATCCAGAACCTCAGAACTAGGTTTGCTGGCATATCCTCTCTGGAGCTGATGATAAGTGAGCTTATCACTTTGATTTCTTTGGGGGCAAGTGAGAGAAATTCTAACCCAAAAAGGCTTACACCGAAAGGAGAATTTAGTAACTCACAAAACCAAGGTGTCTAGGAGCAACACGTGTGTTGCCAACCAAGTCATCAAGATCCAGTTTCTGTCGTTTCTACCTTCATTTTGGAGCTATTCTCGGACCTACTCTGTGTTCAAATTCAAGAAAAAAGAACCAAACCTGAGCAACATAGTAAGGTCTTGTCTCTCTACAAAGCATAGAAAAAATTAGCCAGGCATCGTGGCTGGGGCCGTAGTCCCAGCTACTTGAGATTTTAAGGTAGGAGGATCACTTGAGCTCAGGAATTAGAGGTTGCTGTGAGCTGTGATGACACCACTGCACTCTAGCCTGGGCAACAGAATCATACCCTTCCTCAAAAAAAGAAGAAAAAGAATAAGTCTTTCTTTCCAGGAACCCCAGCTACTGTATGCATTTCAGTAACTAAGGGTGTTGTATCTAACTTCCCATATCCATACCTGTGACCATGCTGGGTCTGACTGTCCAAGCTGGTCACATTCCACGCTGGACTCAGGGAAGTTGACTGCATCGTAACTGTAGGGAGAAGTAGAGCCACAGGTGGAAACTGGGAGGTCCTATTGGAAGTAAAGTGAACACATCGAGTCCGCTATGGTAAAGTCCCTTCAGAGACAGGGTAATCTAGTGGAAACGTCTCCATGGAACTCAGTAATTGATGGAAAGTATTCATACAAAAAAAATTCTGCTTAGTATAGTTGGGAAAATCCAGAGGATTTCTTACCCTTTCCCTGCTTTCCACCATTCCTAAATTAGTTATTCAGGCCTATAAAGAAAGTAAAATTAACTTTATCCTGACCTTCTGAAGCTGGTTTGTACTTAGAAAACGCTTTGTGAGACTGTCATTGAATGAACAAGGTATACCAGGAGTTAGACCATATTCTGCTCCTTTTCTTCTCCAAGGATCTAATGAAATCAGGTCTCAGATGCCTGAAAATAAAGGTTTTTTTCCTCTTACCTTATTTTAATGAATTTGCTAATGAATCTTTTGTTCAGTGAAATATGTTTATTATTTACAGAGATTGAGAAGAAAGTTTATAAACAACAGCTGGGAGTGTTAGAATTGGTTACTAAATACAACTGGATTTACTTTTTGTGAAGTTTTATTACAAGGGAGATCTTTATTGAAGTTACGAATCTAAGGCCTAAATTAGCAATTTCAAAGCTGTAATTTTTTAGAAAAATAAAAAGGTCTTTATATTAAACACAGTAGGTTGAACACATAGGCTTATTTTGTTCCATCCTGAAGCCTCACTAAAAATGAGGCTTTAACAAGAAAAAATGGCATAAATGCAGAAAAAAATAGGGGAGGAAACAATAGCAGGCAAGAATGTCACCAGAGCTTATGTCACAAATCAGAACAGTGAAGTGTAGGATCCACAGGCTGGCTCTGGGCTAGTCCCACCATCCAGCGTTGTCTGTGTCCTGCGTCTCATCGTGTATGTTCCAGTTCCTTTAGGCACAGGCCACGCTCTTCACACACAGGGTGCCGTGCTGCACACACTTCCCAGCCTTGCTTTTTTATTTAAAAAATGTATCTTGGATCACTTGAACCCAAAATTCAGAGCTATAAAGAGCTGTGATCGCACCCGTGACAAGCCACTCTTTCTGAAAGGGTAAGGATAAGAAAATCCCAGGGCAGTATCGAGTCACCCCCACCCAGCCCCCTAAATGGAGAGGGAACTGGGAGACCAAGGACTCAAGCAAGACCAGCTGGGCGAGTTGGATGGTTTACTGGAGGTTGCTTACCAGGGCTCTGGCTCCTGGGCATGCAAGAGCACCTCCCACGGAAACAATCGGCATTGCCTCAAATCTCTTACCAGTGAGTGGCGTGCCTTTTTTTTTAATTATTTTTTTTATTTATTTATTTTGTTTGTTTGGTTGGTTGGTTTTTTGGGGGGCGGGGGGCCAGGTTTGAACCCGCCACTTCCAGTATATGGGACCGGCGCCCTACCCCTTAAGCCACAGGCGCCACCCGTGGTGTGCCGTTTTGACATTTTATCTGTGCTTGTTGATACTGAAGCTTATCACACAGACAGGTGCAGTCCCCTCAAACTTCCTTTCACAAAAGACTTCTCGGTAGCATGTGATGCTTTCAAACATGGGGGAGAAGTGTACACGTTGAGGGGATGGCACGAGACGTTTCCCAGGACGGTTTGCTCTGTATCGTGATGGTGTGATGCTAAACCACAGATCTGTCTGTGCCTGTCAGGTCACGTAACTGACAACAAAGGAAAGCAGAAGTCAATTTTGTTAGGTCTCAATTTTAGAAATTCCTGTTTTGGGTAGAGTGGAAGGACAGATGAAATAAACAAAGATAGGCCATGACTTACTCATGTTTGGAGCTGGCTAAGGGCACAAGAATATTCATTATACTATTCTGTTTACTGAAATCATAGGATGATTACTTAGAATATTTAACCTTGAAATGAAGGTTTGCTAGTGTTGCAAACTTGCTTAATGTGATAATCATTGGAATATAATTGGAGCTACAAGCAAATGGAAGTATCACGATTAAAGATATTTTCTATAATGCATATGTGAACTTACTCTCAATTTGCATTTCTTTTGTTGTTTTTTGTTTTTAGGATGAGGGATGCTGCAAGAAAGATAGAAGAACGGCATTTTTCTAACCATGCAACACATGTTGAATTTCTCCCAGTTGAGTGGCGGTCAAAACTAACTCTTGATGGAGGTATTTTTTTTTT